TAGGAAGAGAATAAGTCGGATGAATTTGCTTGTGAATTGTCCTTTAGGGACTTTTTTTTTAGGTCTATTGATGCCTCTGATCATATCCATGAAGCCCAATACATATTCCAAGTTTTAGAGAAGGGAATCAAAGAGGTTGGGGAGCATCATGTTGTACAGGTTGTCACAGACAATGCTGCTCCTAATGTTGCTGCAGCTAATTTGTTCGGCATAGCTTATCTTTTGGACACCATGTGCAGCACATTGTATAGACATCATGCTTAAGGCTCTTGGCAGTTTAACCGAAATCAGGTACAGTGAAGAAGGCAAAGTCAGTTACAAATATCATTTATGGCCACCATCTCACCCTCAGCATGATGCATATATTTACAAAGAAGAAGAGATTGTGAGGCCTGGGGTCACGAGATTTGCGACCTAGTACTTATGTCTAGATAGCATACATTCGAGGAGAGTCCAGCTGAGGCAGATGTTTACCTCAGATGACTAGAGAGCATGCAAGTGGTCCAACGATTAGGTTGGCAAGAAGGTGAGATATATTATCCTTTCTAAGGCTTTTTGGCGAGGGATGAAGAGCACTCTTTTTTTTGAGAGAAAATGAAGAAGAATGAGGGGCACTCTTAAGGTATTTTTTCCTCTTGTCAAAGTCCTTCGCATGGTTGATAGTAACAAGCCTTCTATGGGCTATATATATGAGGTCATGGAGAAATGCAAAAAATAGATAACCTAAAATTTTGATGATGATGAGAACTGCTACAAGCTTGTTTGGGAGATTATTGATGAGAAGTGGGATAGGCAGCTACATCGGCCATTGCATGCAGCTGGTTATTATTTGAACCGATCTTTTTTTTATGTTGACAAGGATATACACACAAATAACACAATTATAACTAGATTTAATAAGTGTGTAGATGTGCTAGTCCCTGATCCTGATATCCAGGATATTATATGCGCTAATGAGCTGATAAATTACAAGTGTTCATTAAAGTCTTTTGGGAGTCCAATGGCGATGAGGCAAAGGACCAGAATTGATCCAAGTAGTAATAATATTCTTAAGTTCATCAAGTTCAAGTAATCAAGTTTCATTTTTATAATTCTATTATTTATTTATGATTTTATTTTATATCTTTGCAGCCAATTAGTGGAGCCAACATGGGTGTGATTCTCCAAATTTACAAAAGTTGGCCATTCATCTTAAATCTAACCACTTCTTCATCCTGCTGTGAGCGCAATTAGAGTACTTTTGAAGGGGTAAGGCCGTAAGGATAATTTGTATAATTGTATTAATAATACATGAAGCATAGATTTTAATTAGTTTCATTTTATTTTGTTAAATTCATACAAAGAGAAAGAACATGATTGAATCAAAGCGGCTCAATGACCTAGTCTATGTCAAGTATAATCGATTCTTGAAGGACAGGTTTGCTAAGAGAGATAAGAAAAACCATATCTAATCAAAAAATATGGACAACGTTATGGAGTGGTTAGTCAATGATGATGAGGTCGAGGAGTATGAAGGATTGACATGGGACATGGTCATGGATGCTTCAGGGACATCAGCTGACCCTCCTACGGCCACCAGATCTTCTGCACAGAAAACGAGGGTGGAGGAGGAAGAAGAGACGGAGGAGGACGACCAATATGTCGAGGAGGGTGACGACTCCAGTGAATATGATGCCAAAGCAACTGACCTTAATTTTTCTGATGATGAATGTTGAATAATTATTAAACTTTGAACTTTGATTGAACTATGAATGGTAAATTTTAAGTTTTAATTAGATATGGATTATGGACCGACTTATAGTTATGCTTATGGAGTGTGTGTTAATGTGTAGTATACTCTCAATTCTGATATGCCCTAAATACCTAATTCTTATATTTTATACAATATATAACTGTAGAATCTTTTTTGGATTCAACTGGGCCGCCCAAGTTCTGGGCGCCTGCCTAAGCGCCCGCCTAGGCGCTAGGCAGCCTGGACCCCCGGGCTGCCTAGGACCCCCAAGCCACCTAGGACCCCCAAGCCGCCTAGCACTTTTTGAAACATTGAGGGTTAGATATTGCCAAGAGGTTGACGTGTGGGATAGACTCGATTCCCTCCAAGTATTTGGGTTGGGCATTCCTCTATGCCTTGGCAAACCAAGTAAAGACCAATGGGATGGTGTAGTGGATAGGGTAAAGCATAAACTATTGGCTTGAAAAGGGAGGTTCCTCTCCTTAATGGTAATGCTTTCTTTGATAAAAGCTACCGTATCAAATATTCTTGTTTACCAAACGTCTCCCTTCAGGATGCCAGTGGCCATTGTTGAAGGGATGGAGTCCTGATATTATGGTCGGGAGAGGAAGGAGTCCACAAATTCCATCTTGCAAATTGCGACACAGCCTGCAAGCCCAAAAAAGCAGGTGGCTTGGGCATAGGAAAATTAAAAGATATGAATTCTGCCCTGTTGGGAAAATGGTGGTGGTCCTTGGCCACACAAGATGTACTTTTGTAGCAGGAGGTCATTCACCACAGGTATGGTCTCAATGACTTCCAGTAGTACAATGTGCGGCCTTTGGTGGCCTGGAAAGCGATTATTTCTTATCATTTACTGTTTGCAAGTCGAATGACATTCTTGGTTAAACTGGGAATTATATTAGAATGTAGAAAGGTAAATAGCTGGGCACTAATACTCTGGAACCTGGATACATTCTTCCCATTTGTTTAGCATAATAGTGAATTGAAGTGTGATGGTTCTCAAATCTTACAAGATCCTGAGAGGCCATCTGATTTGGTGCCCTTGGTTTAGGAAGAATCTAGATGTAGATGACAACCCTGAGTTGGAGGCTCCTTGTCTCTACTAAATTCTCAGTTCATCCCCCCAAAATGGAGGGGACAACATGATATCGATACCAGCTCCCTCAGGTTGTTTCTTATTGGCATCTTTTCTAAGTGAGTTGCAACCCAGCAGCATGACCCCAGCTCTGCCCCAAAATGCCTAGTCAGTTCAAGCCCCTCTGAAGAGCCAGGAGTGCACTTGGCTCGTAATAAGCAAAAAGGCCCTCTCAGTTGATAACATTCAGAGATGGGGCATCTAACTTTCCACCAGGTGTAATTCTCCAAAAAAAAAAAAATTTCCATCAGGTGTGACACATGCAAAGATACTAAAGGACAGTGGACCACCATTTTCTCCACTGTTCCGTAACAAGGAAGGTTGGTCCTTCATACTTGAACTGTCCAATGGGTGTTGGGTCACACCAGCATCTATATAACAACTGTTTGCACTCTATTTCCTTTTCCTTGCCTAGGTCTTCCTCCTTTGGCAAGCCTCTATTCTGGCCTCCTTATTGATCATATGGCTGGAAAACAATATGAGAATCTTTGAGAGTCAGTAGTCACATTTAGGTACCATCAACGACAGGATCAAGGCCAATGTCATTTTTGAGGCAAGTAACAAGAAATGAGTTCAAGTTCTTCACATTGGTGCATTTTTTACTAAATTGGAATCCATATCATGGTCCAATCTGATATTGGATTCCTAGAACCCACCATTGGGTGGTTCCAAAACTGCACATCATCAAACTCACTTTTTAATGATTGCTCCTTTGGAAACCTGAGATCAGCAGAGAGAGCGGGTATTTTCAGATATTGTTCAGCAGCCTTGCTGTGAACCTATTGGCCTCACTACTCAGACCTTGAGGCAAAGGTGCTCTTTGAAGCCGCAAATTGTTCAACAGAAGTTGGGCGCCTCAGTTATTGTCAAAGATGACTCTCATAATGTTATTAACTAGGATAGAAGAGCTTCAGTGTGTCCTTTTGAGATTAAAACAGGTGTCTAATAAATTATTGAGATATGTAGATCACTTCAAGTTACATTCAAGCCTAGATGGAGATAGTCCAACACTACAGCAGAGTCACTAGCCAAGGGGCGGGAGTACCAGAGCAAATTTGGTATAATCATCCTGTGGTTCTCATTTTTGCTTTTTTACATTTCATGTATAGAACAAAATGCTATTATGCCCCCAATTTTATTCAGCCCTTGTTACAAGTAAAATGTACATCTATTATTACTATATTAGGTCGATTACTTCATAAAAAAAAAAAAGAGTTGCAAAACAAAATCCTCGCCTTGCAGGCCTTGTGGGTAGGATTAAGGAATAAAGTAAGCAAATGGATACTTATCAACGAAAGGTTGCTTATGGATACATCTAAATAAAGAGGATTAGGTGCACAATCTTAAAGTGCTATACAAGTCCCCTAGCTCTTGGGGATGCTACTTGGGCGGAAGCAAATATTATTCCAGTAGGCAACCAGAGTTTAATTCAAAGGTCCAGCAGTCATTAAGAGTGATGAACTTAATGAACGGGAAGTGGTTGGAAAGGGAGTCCCAAGTTCCAAGGAGATTACAGAGCACATTTGGATACCAAAGATTGTTGTCGAATTGATGTGATTTATGGTGTAACCTACTTCTTACAGTTTTCCCCACCATTTCTCAAACTAGTTCACCAACTAAAACATCCAAATTGCCTATAAAACTGGAAGGTTTGAAATCAATCAATAACTACTAGGGTTGCACTGCAGCTGTATTGATGTAAACCACAAACATTTGGTAGAGAAAATATGGAGTTCTAGGCTTTGATATTTCACCAATAATATTTGTCATGACTATAATAGTATAGTTAGATAATGCAAGACTCTCTCTTGTAATTGATAAATTATTTTCCAAATTCCTTGCCAATACCAATTCCTTTGGTAATTATTAAAAAAAACACAACAGCATTAGAAGGAATTAAAAAGTTTTCCATGAGTAATCAAAGAAGGATTTCCAATTCATGTATCGTAATGCTTCTCGAATCCATGGCAATATAAACTTTATAAAGCCAAGTTAACCAACTATTCAAAAGACAAATGAAAGCTACCACCATGGCAAGTTTAACACCTCAACCTTTATTATCTACCATATTAAGCAAAGCCAAGAACACTCAAGAAAACAAATAATCAGACCCTTGAACTTCTGACTTACCATTGTTGAGAAGCAGCAAATAGCAATGATAGTATGGCAGTAAAAAGACCAGCAAGAATATTAAACAGAACAAATCAATTTTCCAGTTAAGCCATCTTGCCCTGAATCCAGAGAGAAGAATCAATCAGTCATTATATATTTCTAAATAACAGCAAATATTTTCCATCTTGGGAGAGCTTTTAATCACTCGGTAAACTTTAAAGAAACTGAAACCATAATAATCAGATTAATACTAAAAACAAGTTACAAATAGAAAATAATAAAATAAAAAAAAATTAAGAACAATACACACCGAAAAATAAAAAGCATAATCAATAGAAGACCATCCAACTTCCACAAATTATCAATAAGACATTCATAGTAAGATGACAGCCCAAAAAGAAGTCATGAAATCAACCATATCACAAAAATATGGCCCTGGAACCACGATTCCATCTACCAGGAACTAAAGCATGTTGCAACCATAGTTGTTGAGATCGTGATCAGAAGCTAGGGATCGCGAAAGGCTAGAAAATCCCTATGGTTGGCAGCGTCGTCCATACAATGCATATGGTAGGGATCAAGAAACTTTTGGGGATGCTGATCCCAACCTTTTGGATCTTGATCCCAACCATCTGGGATATTGCACTGAACCTTAAAGAGTGTGTGTAGTCTTGGATTGCGACTATATTAGAAGTATGGTTGTATTGCTAGCTGGCTATAAATAAAGAAGATCACATTTTAGTTGTTATCATGGTCTTTAAGGTGGGGATTGAGATATCTAACAACGGGGATCGAGATCCCTAATAGTATGGGTGAGATCTCAAAATTTAAAAGTAATATCTCTTGAAGATCCCTTTCCGGAGCGCAGAAGTGAGATTTCAGAGCAGGATCACCACTTAGGTAGGAACTTGCAACTACAGTTCCCGAGAGTTTAAGCGAATTCTACAGTTCTTGAGCAAGTGGTCCCGTTTTCCAAAAAGACAGACCGAAACATGATAACAACGACTTGTGTTCAAGTTCATATGAAGTCCTCTATTCCAGATATCAAGCCATGTCCTCTATTTTTCAATTTAAATAATAATGTAGCAGCCCCTTATCACTGACTTACAAAGAGTACATTATATCTCCTAATCCTTTAACAATGATGAGAGATGTTCATTTAAATAAGATCGAGAAGTAAATATCAATTTACATAGAAAAATTGAAGCAACGCAATTGCAATTAGTATTTGAGATTTACAGCACAAATTTAATAAAAGCAAACATACAGATGCTGGGTCTTGTTCTTCAGCAAAAAAGTCCCAAATTAAAAAGGCTACAAGTAAGTTCATCTACCATAATCTTCTTCTTCCTGCTCCTCTTCTCTCATATCTGTGCATTATTAGTTAACACCGCCACCATCATCCAACGCAATGCGCATAGCCTAGAATACCCATTTTTCTTTTGACTTTCTTCACATGGACTGTAAAAGAATCACTTTATCACACTTTCTTTTTCTTTTTGGTGGCCCAGTTGTATTGTTTCTTTAAATTACGTTATCTATGTAATTGTTTATATAACTTTTTCATTACATATCTCTCTTACTAGTTCTCTCACTAGTCCTAGACTTAAATAGGAACAATAACTTCCTCATAGAAGTCCTACACTTCTGAGGTTATCAAGATATTTTCTTAATAGTTGGACATAAATTTAGGGCATGTTTGGATGACAATCAATTTTATCAGAAATAGACTATCATGATCATCCAAGCCTCATCTCAACTATTTGGGGTCGGCTATCAGAAATAGACTATATTATCTAAAATTAATATACTTTGGATAAATTATTTGTCAGTTGTTTGGTACGTATCTTGTATTATGTATATATTATTTGCTTATTTAACTTGTTTGCAATTTCCAACTATTTTTAGCTATTTATGGCCAAAAATGTGATCTACAGCAATTTACTTTGAATAACGCTATTTTTACTTCATTTTGAGGTTGCCGATATTTTTTTTCAATATCTAGATAGATTTTAAATTTTTTAATTCTTAAATGTTTTTAGGAAGCATTGTCCATTAGAAAACCTTGTTAGTTTAGGAAATCCAAGCTGAAGTAGAAATATATAGGGCGTGCTGCGATACATAGTTTGTTGACATAGCATCATGCTTTATAATATAGCAAAGATTTTTACAATATTATAAAGGATGGTGAGTATGTCACAGATCCACACTAAGTGTGTGTTGCACTACGCTCTATGTAGTTAAGTCTCCACTTGAATCTCCTAAACACTAATGCACATGGGTGGAGTTTCCTAATGAATCAGGTTTCCCATACAATTTCAAAGAAATTGTAAATTTAAGTCGCTTTAAATATTAAAAACAGTCTTTATAGCCTAAAAAATCTACGAATTCTATTTGAAAATTAATTTTCCTATTCAACTTAGATAAAACTTCCTAATAAATTAAGGCTTTCACTAAATTTTAAGAAATCCTAAATTGATGTCCTCTAGATATTGAAAAAGAAAAATTTATAACCTTAAAATTTGAGATTTCTATTTGAGAATCAATTTTCCTAATTAAAATATAGGGCTTCAAATGAGGATGGAATTTACTGCACGTATAGAACCATACATATCCATAGAACCATGCATCACAGGCGTCCCTCCGTATAACAAGCATACATATACATAGACCCATGCATCATCACAGCAGTCGAGAACTAGTTATGCAGATTACTTCTTAGAGGAAAATGAATCTACTGCCCAATATAAGGACATCTCCATAACTAAAAGAGATAATTTGATACGATAATACTGATTTACAATCAAGGAAAGAGAGATTGTGGACCCTCACCAAAGAAGGACCCAGAATCACTCAATGACAGGTGGTCAAGGGGCAATCACATGTTTCCTCTTAAACAACCATTTCAATAGAATAAAATCGGGGGGAGGTTAGAGTGAGCACCAATCCTCTTAGTTAGACAACAAAGTATTGAGTCTTGTGCACTCAAACTAAAGATCTATAGACCACACAATCTGGTGTGAAGTATATAAATGAAGGAAACATGAGAAGAATTTCCATATCCAACATACAACATATTGAATTCCAGCCTTAGTCACATTACTCTACCAAACTCTTACACTTGACCTAGCTACAAGCACAAGTCAAGATATAGCTAGCTGATGCAATGCTATAAAGCGAGATTTAAGAGTAAGATAAAGAAGAATTTCTAATAAGCCACAAGCTCTCTTTTTCACCCTTTCACTTCATCAGGAAAGTTACTTTGCCTGAAGGACACAACATGTGATCTTCTCATATGAATCTTCCCCTCATCATGCATCCCCTTTCACTACTTGAGCCAATGTTGGAAAACACGACCCAGGAACAGAACCCGGCCATGGCCAGTTCAGGGTAACCGACCCGGTCGGGCAGCTACTGGCTAGATAAAAAAGTGTTTAAAAATACAAAAAAATCCAAAAAAATATCAAAAATATGTTTAAAGTAAATTAAACCAAACACATCTAGATGAGTTTAAAGAAGTAGTGAAAAATAGATTTTGAAAAATCAATTTGTGACTAGGGGTATTTTAGAAATAATGCAAAAAAAGATGGGAAAATGTAAAAATAAGCATTCATGGCCAAACTATATTCCAAGCTTTGCCAAAATGGTAGAAAACACATTACAAATAAATTTCTTATTTTTTGTATTTTTTAATAATTTTTTTGTGAATTTTTTCACACTTGGGAACTTGACCACCAAAACCAGGCTTAACCGGACCCGCTGATGAGCCGGTTCCGGGCAACTTGATTGGGTGCAGTTCGACCCGGCCGGTTTGTCTAACAATGAATTGAGCATGCATTACTTTTTGAAAATTAGTGACCACATCTATCTCAAGAAAGTGTTGTTACAATTTCAGATTGCCAAATTCCAGATTGATGTTCTAAAGGATATGATTCACAACCCGTTACATTTCTGGATCGTTCCCTCATTTGGGCAGCCTTCATCTATCCCTGATGACAGCATATGGGCTTCTACAATTTTACATAAATAGTGCAACCTTGGATTTTGAGGCAAGTTACATGGATGTCCATACGTAATTGTGAGACAGAGTGTATTGGGGAAGAGAAGATGGGATCAGTTAAAGTAGGACCATTAGTTGTCCTTTTGAGGAGAAAACTCACCTTCCTTTCCAACGAGTAGCAACAGCTTGCTAATTAAGTAATCATGTCTATGTCTAGTAAATGGGTTAGTGAACCAATATCAAACCTTGAGAGCAAGAAAAACTACCAATAAACCTAAGGACAAACAAAATGAATAACATTTTATAATAAAGAAGGATAGCAAATAATGCACGCTAAAGCTCAAAATAAAAGCCAGATATTCAACTACGCAAACAAAATTGACAATGCACAATAACAAGGAAGTTACGGAACAAAACTGATTTTCAGAAGATCTTATGCAAGTAATCTGTGTGAACAAACAATATTGATCATGTCATTAATTAATGCAAGAGACAGACAGAAAATTTGAAAAATGTAAGCAATTGATGCAAATTAAACAAATGCAGAAGATTAAAACATGTGCACTTGAAAATTATGAGAGAGAGAGAGAGAGAGAGAACGAGATTAAAAGATACAATTGATCAATGCTATTGCTAATCGCAAGAGACAAAATTTGCTATCATTTGTGCAAAAGAGAAACACGATGGTGCACAATTGATATATGAGAGGAACACTTCATGATTAGAACTTGTCAGGGAATATTGGTGTCACTGTAAAATTTGCAAGAGCTAGAGAGAGGAAATTTACTCCTAAAGTAGGTGTCACAGTAACATTACAAGAGCTCGAGAGAAAATTTACTCTTTGGAGAGAACAGGGATGATTTCAAAGAGCACAAGCTGAAGGAGGTTGCAGGAGAAGGCAAAGACAACGCTGAAGAGGATCTGAACCAGAGCCCTCTTCTCCTCGTATTCCTTGTAAAGCCTGCGATTCAAGAACCAGAGACCTGCCCATCCTAACAGAGATAGAGAGACAAATACCAGGCTTCCTTCATAGATTTTCCACCCCCACCCCATTAGAGAGCCATTAACAGTCGCCCCCAAAGAGGACGAGAGAGAGCAGTACGTATCAAATGGGAGAGAAAATGTAGGAAATGAACGGAGAAGTAGCATACATTTGATGAGAGAGAAAATCTTATGATTGAGTAAGGGAGTATTGAGAGAGAGAGATAAATTAGGGCATTTCCCCAGCTCTCAACACTCTCCCTCTCATTGCACTCTGTTTAATGTTCTATCCACCGTTACCGCTAAGCAGAAATGTGAGAGAGAAAGACGATCGGGAAAAATATATTTGCGAAGTGTTATTATTCCCTTCTGAGAAAGGGTTAAGATGTCAAATTGCACGGAACCCATGTAATTAACACAATGGTCCTTTTCGAAATTACCACAAAAGACGGACCAATTCCCTACCATCGAGTCCGCTCCACTTTTTCTCCAAAATTACATTGGGACCACCCGGTCTGTTGAAAAAATTGGATGGCCCAAAGGCAAAGATTTAGAGATGTCTGATATTATTGATGTCAAACACAAGTGGGTTTTAAGATTGTCTAATATCGTCAATATCAAACAGACTAAGATATAGAATGTTTTCTGTTTTTAGCCCTACTTTGAAAATAAAATTAAAATTTAAAAAAAAAACCGACTTTTCCCACCTATTTGATGTTGTAGAAAGTTTGTGATTTGAGAGTTGAATCCCAGTAAGCAGTGAGGTATCTTTCTTTCAAATTCTTCTCTTAATTTTTTTTTTCTTTTTAAGCGCTTCTTTTACTCTGCTATTTTTCTTTATTTCTTGAAGATAAGATGAACTTGTTCTCAAACTCATTGCAGTATGACGCAAAATGGAATTTCCTTTCCAAAGTCTACAATTTAGTAGGAACTTCATTCTCATTTTCAAGACATCTATCGAATAAGAAGAATGTCGTTTGCTTTCCAATATTGTCTGTCTTTATCTTCGTAACTTCTGATTTTTCACTTAAGATCTGGATATTTTAGGGCATGAAAAGGCAGGCAAAATCAAATTTACACCAGAATCAAGATGTCAGAGAGAGAGAGAGAGAGAGAGAGAGAGACAACTATACAAGTGCTAAATATTGGCTATCTAATATTTTTCACTTCTATGAATGAGAGAGAGAGAGACAACTATACAAGTGCTAAATATTGGCTATCTAATATTTTTCACTTCTATGAATTGCAGCAATGCAGAATATCTATCTCTCTCACTCCCAAACCACCTGAACTTCTCTCTCTTTCATTCTAATCCACATGACCTCCTCTGATTCACCTAAACTTCCTCTCTCTCTCATGCCAATCAATCCATGTAAACTCTCTCTCATCCTAATCCTCGTAAACCTCTCTCTCTCATGCCAATCCATATAAACACACATACTTTCTCTCTCCCTCGCGCCTTCCCCCAAACCCTCTAAATTCTTTAAGCTATGTTTTTTTTGGTGTTGAATTATAATTAATTTCTTTGATTTACTTCCTTTTTGTTTTGATTGGTTTTTACATAATTCATTCCTTCTTTCTTTGGTCGTTATCTCCATGTAGGGGTGTTAGAGACATCTGCCATGCTTTGTTTCTATTACAAAATACTCCGTATTTTTTAATACAAATTATAAAGAAAGTTGATCAATTCATGTTTTTTTTAATCTTTTTTCAAAATTACCTCGCGCTCCAAGAATGGGAACCTTAGATTGCTTAGGAACGAGCGATCCTAGGATCACTTGAGCACTTCCCTACTAGCAAAAAAACTAAAAAATAAAATAAAATTAAAATGTGGTCCGAAGATGCTCGGACTGTATCTTCAGATTGAGAGGTAATTTTAAAAAAAAATATGGGTTGACCGACCTTCCTTATAATTTCCGTTTAGGAGTATTTTATATTTTTATTTTAGATAATATTTTTTAGTCCGTACGTAAATCACTCGTAAAAATAAGAGAAATCTATATATACATGAGATATTCATAAATTAACACTTTAGCATGTCCTCAGATTTAAGTTCAAAATACCTATCACAAAGGACATGGCCTTGACTTGGAATGGTAACAAATAGGTAAATTGTTCAATAATTAATCTCTTATAGGTATTTTAATTAAATTAATGTACATGATAAACCCCCTCAACCTCTCAAAAAAACAAAAAAATAAGCCATAGCTTTCTCCTTAGAATACCCTCCATTCAAAATACTTCTACACTCCGAAAAAGTTTATATAAGGTTGCAACCTTAAAATGTAGAATTATAGATGCACTCCAAAAATCCATGGAAAAAAATTGTTTTAATGTGTAAAAACCCTCTAATTGATCATCTCGACAACTAGATGTATGAATATGAAAAAAAAAAGATTTTGAGTCCAACAAATAATGCATCTTGCAACACATTATCTAGACGGTCTATTTTTAAGATTTTCATATGTTTATAGATCTACTTGATTTCAACAATTTTTTTATTTTAAACTTTTATAATTAGATATGAAAATAGATTTTGAGATAATCCTAATCAAAATTAATTGTTATGATAAAATTTGGAGGTGTGCCTTAATTGGATTGTTTAAGATTGCAACCTTATAGACACCACACCAATACCCTAAAAAACTTTCTTTTTTTTTCTTCTCCTCTAAATCATTTTTTTAGCATATTTTAGGAGGGAAAAATCGTTAAAATAAATTTAATAAATTAATTCAAAATTGCAGCCCACAATTCAGAATGTGATACCTTTCTCTTAACTCTCTCTCTCTCTTTGTCCCAACGCAAGAAAGCTTCTAAGTTCCACAAAACTAAACCTGTTGGCCTAAATCTGCAGAATTTAGGGTTTTCAGAAGGCTAGTAGTGTAAATGATCCCTCTGATGAAACACCCCTCTCCAACACGGCCAGAGAAGGAGCCATGGTGAAGCCTGGTTTCAACTACTAGGTGATATTGCTGAGATTGAAAACAAAGATATTCCAAGAAGCATTCATGAGCATTGTTTATGCTCTTTCTATCTCTACACATTCATAAGGATTGATGAGCATTTTTTATTCTCTCTCTTTCTGAAAATTATGTATCAGAAAATTCGAAGAATATAACTGAAAACTAGAGGTTCAGAGCCAGAATTAATTTCTTGGGTTATTAGGTGATCAAAAAGTGGAAGCTGTCATGTTTATGCTCTTTCTCTCTCTACCCACTGCTGCCATTTTTCTGCTCTTTGTCTCTCTAACCATTCACAAGCATTCATGAGTATTTTGTAGCATTTATATTTCTCTTTATGTTAATAAAATTACGTATCCATAATGAGGAGAATGCAACTGAAAACCAAAATGTGAAATTCATGCTCTATTTTCTCTCTTCTTTTTATGGGTTTGTTTCAGCTGTTATTCCGGTCTTCTTAAGAGAGAGATTTTGGATTGCTTGCCACTATTGGGTTTTCTTTGAAAACCTTAGAGAGAGCATGATTGGACTTATGTTTGGAAAAAGTTTATATAATGCACTGCAAAAATCCATCGAAAATCTTGTTTTAATATTAAAAAACTCTCTAATTGATCATGGACATGCATCAATATGAAAAAAAAAAATATTTAAGTCTTAGAAATAATACATATAATATATTGTCTAGACCGTCCATGTACAAGATTTTCATATTTTTATAGATCTACTTGATTTTAACTATTTTTGAAAATTAAAATTTTATAATTAGATATGAAAATAAATTTTGAAATAATCCTAATATTATTTTATACCAAATTTGTATGTTATGATAAAATTTGGAGGTGCGCCTTAATTGGATTGTTTAAAGTTTCAACCTTATAGAAACCACACCCTTTATGTTTTTTAGGGGGAGAGTGCTCCAACAAGAGAAAACCCTTGTTTTATAGAGTTGCTTCGATTTTGGATTAATTCAAATTATTTATTAAATTCATTTAACAAGGGTATTTTTATCCTGAAAAATTGATCTCGGGAGAAAGTAAGAAAATAAGATATTTCGGGTATTGAGTGTAGAAGACTTTTAAATGAAAGGTAATTATGGGAATGCAGCTATAACTGGGGAGATTATGTGAATTTTCCCGGTCAATTTGGATTTTTGTTTTTGGGAGATAGAGAGGTTAAAGTCTACATTTAACCAATGGTCTGATTTGAACCAAGAAAACATGGGATTAGGACAAAAGGATGGGTAACATAGAAGGATGGGTGCAATCGGTATACGGATGCATCTGTAGCTGTAGAGGTAAGGAGCACATTCAAATTTTATCA